TGGATTTTGTTTTTTGGAGGGGGGGCACCTGGGCTATAGAGGAAGAATCTCACTTATATTTAAATGTTATTTCTGGTTTATAGCATAATATATTGTGTGTTGATACACGATAATCATTCATTATCTAGGATAGAATTAAATACACAGCAAGAGGATGATATTTCCCCCAAATGTTTATGTTGAGAAGTTTGAAGAAAGGCCTATTCATAATTAAGAAAGTACATTGAATGAGAATATACTTTGATGAGAGAGATTCATAGACAATATGAGAATTGTATTTAAATGTACCAGCCACCAGTGAGAAAACAGGTGAGATTTTAACTTTTTGCTTTAATATATGTATATTTAAAACTTACTCAGAATCTTCTTATAGTGCAATGCATCTTGAAAAGCTAGTAGACTGGAAAATATAAAACATATATGATGTTATAGGGTAGTATGTATATCAAACGCAAAATAAATAGATGGTATTGCACTCACAAAGAGAAACACTATAAAAAAGGACAAGAATAGTTGTGTAGGCGCTTCAAAAAAATATACAAGGGATGTGAAGAAGTTGTATTCCCTTACCACCTAAAATGAAATCATAAAAATAAAAGTAAAAACAAACCACACCAACAGTGTGCACACAGTATGTCTAATATACCAATTATTACAGATATCTGGATTGCATATCATATCTAAAAAAGAAAATAGACATACATGGTGCTTTCTGTAAAACACAAATATTACAGAAAATGAGATATGAGGAATCAAACTCGCAAAGATATAGCTGTGCCAGGCTCTATATACAAAGCTCCAGGGTGCCTATATAGCCTAGCGATGTTGCCCAAATCAGGAACATCAGAAGATTCACAAGAAGGTATGTAGTGTAATATATCCAATTTATTAAATCCAAAGAAATTTAAAATATAAAAGGAACTCACAGGGAACAAAAGTATATATGAGGCAGTATAACAAAAGACTGCACATTAAAAACACAGCTAAAATTGACAAATAAAGCAGTGTAAATCCATGTATATAAACAAACACTGACAGTATGTCCCAAAATAAAGTACCGCTAGTCAGTAGGCAAATGTGTTTCAGCCCCGAATTGGGCCTTCCTCAGTACTGTCTGACTGGATAGTTCACTGGGTTTAAATACCCCTCCTAATGAATTAATGATGATCCAGCTGATTTCAAAGTTCATTCCCGGTGTCTTGGGCATCACGTCACTTTCGATATGGCACGGCCTTGTGACGCGGGTGCGTTATTTCCGGCTCAGCCACCTCGCGTTCCACCATGTGTTCTAAAACGGCAAAAGTTTCCTATGTGATGGAAAATAAGAGAGCACAAAGTCCCAATGTCCATATTCACTATGGGCTCCTTGCCCTCACGTACATGTTAGTGTGAAAAGAGTAGAAAAACAGGAAATAAATATCAGGCAAATTCAAATATAACACAAATAGAAGTATGATACCCTCAAACATTAAAACCGTAATTGAAAATAAAAATATACACTTTTAATCAGTAAAATAGTCATTAATAACTGGCTCAGGACAAGTATAGTACATTTATAGCTGGGAAGCTTTTTAAAAATGATTTCTAAAAAAAAAATGGCACTATGTATATAAAAGAAATAATATAAAAATATGGGGTATAAAATAAGAAAATTCAAAAATAAGTCACAAAAGTGCACTAATTCAAAATCTATGTTAAGACCTTTTGGACATATTGTGTCCAAGGTAAAAATCCATTTGCCCTCAATTTTGCTTAGTACTTTAAAATTATCCTCCCATCTCCAATTAACCCTCTTTCTTCAAATGGCCATAAAACCTAAAAGGAAATTATCACTATGATGTTTTTCTAATAAATGTGCTGATACACTAGGTTTAGTTTATCCTATCCGTATATTCCCCACGTGTTCCGCAATGCGGGTTTTTAAAGGGCCCCAGAGAAGATACACCACAATTGAAGACGGCAAGTGGATCAGCGCTGAGTGACCAATCAGAGAATTTATATTCAGAAATAAAGGCAGCAAACCTTATGTATGGGGCTCAATCACAAATGCCAAAAAATTAGTATAGCTAATAAAACAGAGGTTGCACCAATAAAACAGAGGTTGTGCCAAAAATGGGTAATGTTAAAATAAGAAAAATACCAATTAATGGAAAGCATTGAAAGATAATATTAGTATAGTAATAAAAATATAGAAAAGTGAAATAACAGGGCAAATAAATTCATAAAAAGAGTCCAATAGGGGGCCGGGCCTAGGTTTCAAGATGGCGAGACATAGTTTTGAGCTGCTCTTATCAGCTCCTCAGAAATAAGCTTGAATTTTAATCCTCTGGCAATTTAAGACCAGGACATTCAGCAAACAACCTGGATATGCCCCAAATTCTTGTGGCTGGGTCTGACCAGCTAGCTTTGCCAACTCATGCCAGACTCTAAGGCCTCTTGGAGCAGGCACACAAATGGTCAGGAGAGGCGGCCAATCTCCCGGAACTCAGCGCTAAACCGCCTGACAGCCCACAGCCCCATTACCCCTACCCTGGGTTGGTGGGGTTATCCCAGCCCCCACAGGGACCTTAAGCTTGGGGAACAGAACCTGCAGTCTGGGTATGCAGCAACCCACATGGTGAGTTTAAGATGGCTGCCACAGGGGAAAAGCATCATTATCAAGAGGATCTGGAGGTCCAGCACTGGAGAGACCACTTTAACTTATGGTTTGATGCTCTATGCTGGGAATTCTGGCTCTGCATTCACAAGCGACCTACACTTCTCGCCCCATCAGTGATACAGGCAGCACCAGCTACAACTCTGGAGTCCTGCTTCTCATCTGGAATGGGGACCCACTCGGAGTTACCTCCAAGCAGCTGTCTATACACCCACAGGCCCACCAACATTGTAGAGAACCGGGGGCGGGGGGGCACATGATCTCAACTCTGAGAGAAGGGGGGTCAATGGATTTGAGGCATTGGTCTCCTACAAGGCCTGGGGCCGAAGATTCTGGATAAATTCCAGGAAATCTCTGCTTACCACCCAGCTGGGTCTACAACTTCACCTGACAAGCTACATAATGGGGAAGGGAGATAAGGATCCTGGAGTTGAGCTGATCTCACTGCGTTTGTCGTCTTGTGGCATAGGGAAAATTGCCCTTCCAACTCATCTGTGGACAGCAGAACCCTTCTCAGCTCATATCATATGATGCCAAATTTATTTTGTGTTTTTCCTTTGGTTTTCTTCAATGCCTGCTTCCCTTTGGTGTTATTAATAATTCAATCATATCAGTTAATAATAGGTGACCTTCTAATTTCACATTAGTGTTTGCTTCTGCAGCTCATGTTATTGTTTATTTGACAACAGTGCCATTGCCCTATTTTGTGTTTGCCCATGTGTGTTATGCGGACACTGTTTTATGTTTTATTGCTAAATGCATATACACTAATCGACCTGACACTGCAAGCCTTTCTAGATATGTTATGTTCAAGCATGTATACATTACTTTCAAAAATGTGCTGATTCATCGAGTGCCATAACAATGTTTATCTTGCGTTGTCCTCTTAAGCTTGTACTTGCTGTTGTGGCACTACAAGCATGTCTGTACATATGAGCAATGAATACCACAATCCATATCTAGATATGTTTTCTTAGCATGTTTATTAGCCTGTCATTATAATTCTAAAATTGTGCATGTTCTCTCTTAATGCCTTATCACATGTAAGCTATGTATTATAACGTTTTTGGCATCTGTTGTTGTGGCAGAACATGACTGTTTGTAAACCTCTACACAGCAAAAAAAAAACAAAAAAAAAAACAGAGCCCAATAATTTAAAATAAAATAAATAAAAAATCCAAACTTTGAGGTACAGAGAATGATAAAACCGAGACCTTATTTCAATGGCTTTCTTATGATCAAAATCAAGGACTACAGGGATTCTCTTATCCATTTTTTATTTTTTTTTATTTTTATTCCTATTTTCAATAACTGATAATTGTTCGTTTAAAATAATGGAGTTATAATTTTTCTATGTAAAATAAGAATTTCAAATATCTGCTTGTTCATTAAATTGGTACAAATCCATGCAATTTCGCAATAACCAAATAAATTGTCCCTTATGTATATTCTGTATCCAAGGGGTGTAGTGACAGCTGGTTGTGTCAATATAGCTATTAACATCAACCTTTTTAAATACTGTTTTTGTTCTTATTTTTTGAATCTTACATAGTTACATAGTTACATAGCTAAAATGAGACTTGCTTCCATCAAGTTCACACACTTCCTCACATATGTTTTTGTGGTTGATCCAAAAGAAGGCAAAAAAACCCAGTCTGAAGCATAGATTTCCAAGTCTAAAAAATGTACTTTAAATTTACTACATTCACAAGTTAAAACAATATTCCTCTAAATACAATTTAAAAATTCCAGAAATAATGTAAGTTGGTGATCATCCCCCCTCCAAATAAAAAAAAAAATGTTGTCAATATGCCTGCGATTTAAAAGACCTGATATGGGAAGAAAAATGTATTTTAGTTACATGCGATGTAATTAGCTTGAATACGATCATTTTACACGATCTGGGACATGAAGCAGTGGAACATTTTTTGTATTTAAGTTAAGTTCCAGAGAGCCAAATAGATTTTATTTTGGAAGGGATTAAACTCCTACACAACAATTTTTTCTGGTTCGAAGGATCATATTTTTTACAGTTATTTGGGAATGCGATGGAAACCAAATTCACACCAAGTTATGCTAGCCTTTTTATGTCCTTCTGGGAGAAATCTTTATATTGATATCAAAACACACTTTGAATTATATATAAAGTCAACTTTGAATTCTATGTGTCGTCTTGCTCAGAAATGCTTTAGACTTAAGAAAGGGAGTTTCTCCCAAAAGCTTGTCATTAAAAAATTCTCTTAGTCCAATAAAAAAGGTATTACAATATACAAATATATATATATATATATATATATAAATAATACTAATGGTTGGCTGCACTCACGGCTGCACTCACGGCTTCTTTAAAACGTAACTTTTATTTGTAGTATTAAGAGCAGATCAACGTTTCATTGATGAGCCTGATGAAAGTCCACAAGAGGGACTGAAACGTTGATCTGCTCTTAATACTACAAATAAAAGTTACGTTTTAAAAAAATCCATGAGTGCAGCCAACCATTACTATTATTTGGATACTGGAGCCTCGGTGATGCACCCGGTCATATAACTGAATCCTGAGTGCAAGGTACATTTGTTTTTTATATATATATATATATATATATATATATATATATATATATATATGAAACGAGGGGGCTACACTCACCAGAACATGCATAAATAGGGTGCTGCTGGGGGCCAATTTATACAATACACAAGATCTAGTGCACTCACTTATCCATTAAAAAGCAACTTCAATATGGACAGATTGTATTAGTTTTTTTAAAAAACATCTAATCTAGGCAAAAATAATGGGGGTTTAGTTACATTATATGATCATATATAGCATAGGCCTGCCACAACATCAATGTGCCCCATCTTTGGCAGGTCCTACTCTAACAGCCTAATGTCTGCTCTTATGAGATTAACCCACTTCCTTGGGGGAAAAATTCCATCTGGGGCTCTCTGCAATACAAGGCTAAATAGGGCCCTGGGATGAGGCACTTGTGACAGGGAGGGGTACAATATATATAGCAACAAATAATACATTTATGGTGGGGATATAATTGTGATTGAAAACCCCTTCCACTTGAAGTCTGTGGATAGTTAATACAATGTTTAACAAAAATCTGCACACCAGTCAAGCCATAAGACTTGCTTTTCCCACAGAAATCACAAATTTTCTCATGTTACTACTGCAAAGGATTCTGGGTGGGCATATGCAAATTGCATATGCCCACCCAGAATCTTTTGCGGTAGTAACATCACTGCAAATTTGTGATTTCTGTGGGAAAAGCAAGTCGTATGGCTTGACTGGTGTACAGATTTTTGTTTAACATTGTATTAACAATATATATATATAAATATATATATATATATTTATTTATTTATTTAAAAAACAGATAAAATGTGTATCTTGTAATACCTGTAACGAGAATATACCCCTACACGCAGGATCCAGCTAAACAGAGGCAAATACAGAGGAGAGATACGTCTACCGGACCTTAGAATGGCCGGACTCGACGTATATGAGAGGAGACAGAGCCAGGAACAAACCGAGGTCAAGGGCACAGAGAGACAGCGTAAACTAGGACAAGCCGGGGTCTGGTACACGGAAAACAGCAAGCCGGCAAACAGTACAGATAAGGATAAAGCGAAAACGAAGTCAGAATACGAAGCCAAAGTCAATACGAGAAAACACAACTGAACACCACAAGCGCTAAAGGGAACTGAAACAGAAACCACGATAGGGCAACGAGCTAAGGGAAAAAGGTAAGTTTAAATAGCTTTAAAACGAAAGTGATTGGCTCCTGTCACTTCCACACCCCCTATAGGTAATTGTACAGGGAGTGTGGTATGACAGGAGCCAATGGGAGCCTTTTGGCAATTAGGCTCCCACTGTCTCTTTAAGAGCGCGCCCGAGACTCGCGGCGCGCTCTTAGTTTCAGGCGGGACACGTGACCGCCTCACGCGGTCACTGCCCGCCTTCCATCCAAAGCAGTTGGATGAGCCGCGCGCGGCTCGTGCAGCCGCAGGACCGCGCGCGGCTTGAAGAGAGGACCGCGACCGGCCCCCGGTTAAGGTAAGTAACGCTACAGTACCCCCCCCTGAGGACACGCCCCCCGGGCGGGTAGGACCAGGCCTGGCAGGAAAACGAGAATGGAAAGAGCGCACAAGACGGGGAGCATGGACAGCATCAGCCGAAATCCAACTGTGCTCCTCAGGCCCATAACCCTTCCAATGTACCAAGTACTGAAGTCGACCCCTAAGGAAACGAGAGTCAAGAACAGCAGACACTTCAAACTCCTCATGACCCTCCACCGAGATAGGAGGGGGAGGAGGAGTATGCCGGGTATAGCGGTTGCGTACGAAAGGTTTCAACAATGAGGTGTGAAAAACATTAGGAATACGTAGATTCTTAGGCAGGCCTAAGGCATAAGAAACAGGATTAACCTTATGTATAATACGATAAGGTCCAATGAAGCGGGGAGCCAATTTCATAGAAGGCACCCGGAGACGAATATTCCGCGTGGAAAGCAAAACCCTGTCCCCCACAACATAGGACGGAGCTGCTCTGCGATGCTTGTCAGCCTGAGCCTTCTGGCGAGTAGCAGAGTCCACCAAAGAACGCTGAACCTGCTCCCAAGTATTACGCAAACCAGCCAAATGCTCATCCAGAACTGGCATGCCCTGTGAGGAGAATGCAGCCGGAAGAACAACGGGATGCTGGCCATAGACAACGTAAAAAGGGGTCTTGCCGGAAGAATCATGAGTGGCGTTATTCCGAGCAAATTCAGCCCAAGGAAGCAGGTCAGACCAATTGTCCTGATGGTGAGACACAAAACAACGGAGGTATTGCTCCAGAGACTGGTTGGCACGTTCAGCAGCCCCATTAGACTGGGGATGATAAGCGGAAGAAAATGAGAGAGAAATACCCATTTCTGAACAAAAGGCCCTCCAGAACCTGGAAATAAATTGGCTACCCCTATCGGATACAATAGATACGGGAATCCCATGTAATCGAAATACTTCTCTAGCGAAGATATGAGCCAGTTCCTTGGATGTGGGCAACTTGCGAAGAGACACGAAGTGAGCCATTTTGGAGAACCGATCCACTATCATCAGGATCACTGTGTTACCATTTGAAGGGGGTAATTCAACAATAAAATCCATGGACAGGTTAGACCAAGGTCTCTCGGGAACGGGTAACGGATGCAACAGCCCACAAGGAACTCTACGGGAGGATTTCATACAGGCACAAGTAGTACAAGCACTTATATAGTCAGTGACATCCTTTCGTAAGGAATCCCACCAAAAATACCGAGAAACAGCTGACACCGTTTTGGAAATACCAGGATGTCCAGCGGTCTTAGTATCATGATATAATGACATAATATCCCGTCTCTCAGGAACATCAACGAACAGTTTATCATTAGGCCTCTCGCTAGGTGCCATGCTTTGTTTCGCTTGTATGGCCTGCAAGAGGGACGAGGAAATAGACAAAATAGTAGTAGCTATTATCCTGTCTGGGGGAATGACAGGAGTAACATCAATCTCCTGTTTGTCAGTAGTTTCGAACTGTCTGGACAGAGCGTCTGCTTTAGTGTTGCGATCACCTGGCCTATAGGTGATAATAAAATTGAAACGGGACAAAAATAGTGACCACCTAGCCTGCCTGGAAGACAATCTTTTGGCTTCGCTAAGGTAGGATAGGTTCTTGTGATCCGTAAAAATGAGGATAGGATCCTTAGTTCCTTCTAACAAATGTCTCCACTCTTTAAGTGCTAAAATAATAGCAAGGAGTTCGCGATTACCCACATCATAATTTTTCTCTGCTTTGGACATTTGTTTAGAAAAGAAGCCGCATGGATGCAATGGCTTCTCAGGCGACTCTCTTTGGGATAAGACAGCACCTACCCCAATATCCGAAGCATCAACTTCAAGAATATAGGGCAGTGAGGGGACAGGATGCTGTAAAATAGGTGCAGAGGCGAACGTAGTTTTAAGAAATTCAAAAGCCTGAAGTGCCTCGGTAGACCAAACACGAGTATTGCCATCCTTTTTAGTCATACGGGTAATAGGTGCTACAATGGACGAGAAACCTTTGATAAAACGTCTATAATAATTGGAGAACCCAAGAAAACGCTGAATAGCTTTCAGACCTTGCGGTAGAGGCCATTCTATTACAGCAGCAAGCTTCTGGGGATCCATACGAAAACCTTTAGCGGAAATCAAATACCCCAAGAACTGGACTTCGGTTTGGTCAAACAGACATTTTTCTAGCTTGCAATAAAGACCATTAGCAAGAAGGGTCTTCAAAACTGTCGTAACATGTCTGTGATGAGTGTGTATATCTGTAGAATATATTAAAATGTCGTCCAAGTATACGATAACAAATGTGTGAATAAAATCTCTCAAGACATCATTAATAAATTCTTGGAATACTGCTGGGGCATTGCAAAGCCCAAATGGCATAACAGTATATTCGTAATGACCGGATCTAGTGTTGAATGCAGTCTTCCATTCGTGATTTTCCTTTATACGTATCAAATTGTATGCACTCCTAAGGTCTAATTTAGTGAACACAGTGGCATGTTTCAGCCTGTCAAATAATTCTGTAATCAAAGGTATAGGGTATGCATTTTTGATAGTGATTTTGTTTAGACCTCTATAATCTATACACGGTCTTAAATCACCTTCTTTCTTCGATACAAAGAAGAACCCTGCTCCAGCTGGAGAAGAGGATCTCCTAATAAACCCTTTTTCTAGTGATTCCTTGATGTACTCCTCCATGACACGGTTTTCTTGAACCGATAAGGGGTACACCCTGCCCTTTGGAGGTATAGTGCCAGGCAACAAGTCAATAGCGCAATCATAGGGTCTGTGAGGCGGTAATTTCTCAGCCTCCCTTTTATCGAAAACAGTCTTTAGAGATAAGTACTGAGGGGGTATAACCGTAGACAAAGGAGGACTGGTAGGTACCTCAATAGAATTCAAAGGTGTGACTTCCAACGTACAAGACTCGTGGCAGGCCTCACTCCATGATTTTATTTGCCCTGTCTCCCAGTCAAAAATGGGATTGTGAGCACGTAACCATGGATACCCTAATACTAACTGTGAAGAGGGAGAGGTGATGACCTGGAATCGAATGGTTTCATAGTGTAAAACCCCTGTGTACATGTGTAATGGTACAGTCTCATGAGTAACAACTGGAGAACTTAATGGTCTACCATCTATGGCCTCAACGGCCAAGGGTATCTCCTTCTCTCTGATGGGAATGTTGTTTCTCTTTATAAAGCCAGAGTCTATAAAATTTTCAGCTGCCCCAGAGTCAACCAGAGCATATATGTTGTCAACTATACAAATCTCTCCCATATATAAAGAAACCGGGAGAAGCAAGCGGTTAGGAGGCAATTTAGGAGACTTAGATATCACACCCAAGGCCAGTCCCCTATAAGGTCTTAGGTGCGAGAGTTTTCCGGGAGTAAAGGACA